CAACGATTTTTTATTAACCATAATGTTGTTATTAGTTACTATTTTTTTCAAGTTTAAAAATAGTTTTTCTTTAATTTCAGTTACGGGAAAGTTAAACAGAAGTATTGCATACAAAGTTGTATATTTTAATCTTCCAATACAGGTTTTCACAGGAAAGAGTGCAGTTGCACATTATTATATGACCAGGCAAATAATTTGCCTTTTTGATTTGATTGCGGCTATTTTGAACGCGTGCTTAATGAAAAAAATTTTAATTATTATTTAGAAATAAATGGCATTGAAACTTTTATCTTTACTCATGTTTTTATATTAGCAAAACACATTTAAATAAAGTAATAGTTTTCTGTTTATTTTTGTTTAAAGTATAATTAAAAGTTGCATATAATTTTTTTAACTTATATTGTATAAATTATATTAGTATGTATTTTTTATAATAAACATTTTTATAAAATAAAAATAATTTTGTTTTTATAAATAATGACTTTCTCAAAAAAAGTCTCTTTAATGAACTTACTTTTAAGATTTGTTTTACTTTTTCTTTTTTTACTTTTTTTTACTTTTTTTGAATCATTAAATTAAATACATTTAAAAAAATCATAATAGTCGAAGAAAAAAATGTTTTTGGAAGCTGCAACAAAGCTGCAAGCAACCACTATTAAGTTTCAACTTACTAGAAAAAAAAGAATAGAGTTATAGAGCAAGGAAACGGTTTAAATATGACTTGAAAAGTTGAAGGTTGTATGAGTCAGGAAAACATGAAGATGGGAGAGAGTTTTAAAGTGTTCATTTGTGGGGGGAAAAACTAGATTAATAAAAGTTTTTAGAATATGCAGGGTCAGATACAGTAAACGAATAAGATTTCGCTGAATGATGAGTTGAACTAGAACGAGTTTAGTTAGAACTAGATATAATAGCAGCGTCCATGATAGTATTAGTAGAATAAATAAAGAAATGCAGCTTTACGACGATGGGAAAGCAGCTCAAGCTTAGAAGATAGAGCGGATCCAACTACATTTACAAAGCATATTTGGGCGTTGTCTAAAAGAAAAACAGCATCATAGAAGAACCATCTCAAATATGACAACAGTATTTCATACAAGGACGAATAATAGATTTATAGAGATAGAGAATAGAATCAAAAGTAAGAAAATAGGAAGCACGATTAAGAGAAGCAACCTTAACATATGCTAATTTAGTTATCAATTGTATATATGGTTTCCAGTAGTAAAAATAATCCAAGAAGATGTAAAGAAGAGGTCTCAGTGAGAGGGTTGCCATTCATTAATAAAGGAATATCGACAGTATTGCAATACTATCAATATTCCTGTATTAATGAATGGCTAGACTTTTTGTCACGACAGGAGTATAAAGTTGAGCAAAAGTCGTCAGCAAAAAGACCTACTTTAAATGTAAAGTTTTCAGGAACATTATTAATGCAGATAAAAAACAGAATAAGACCATGGATGGACCTTAAGGTACCCCAAATGTTACTGGTCTTTAAGGATGACTTTGATAAAGCGGTTAGAAACAAATGATTTGATAATCTTTAAAATTTTCCCAGATATATCATATGAAGCAAGCTTATGGAGAAGACCAGTAAGTTATATGACTCAAGATGATATGTGAAAAATTTGTTGATCAAAGACTCAAATACCTTACGAATAGCAGACAGAAGACTGATTGGACAATAATTAAATGTTGTTTTTTTAGTTGAGTCTAGGTAAGTTTTTTCTGTGCATTTTAAAATTTTTTAAAACATGTTAAAAGTCATGATCAAATTCTAAAAGCAAAATATTATTTACATGCTCATATAATTTGTTGGCATTTTCAAATTATTATTTAATGGCATGCAGTTGTATGCCATCTGGGAAAGCCTGCAGTTCCTTTAATGTCATAATTTTAGTCACCTCACTGTATATATATATATTTATATACATGTATATATATATATATATATATATATATATATATATATATATATATACATATATACATATATATATATATATATATATATATATATATATATATATATATATATATATATATATATATATATATATATATATATATATATATATATATATATATATATATACATATATATATATATATATATATATATATATATATATATATATATATATATATATATATACATATATATATATATATATATATATATATATATATATACATATATATATATATATATATATATATATATATATATATATATATATATATATATATATATATATATATATATATATATATATATATATATATATATGTATATATTAGGGTGGTCCTTAAAACAACTTTTTTTTTTGTCTGTTTTCACTCTCTAAACAGGTCCTATGTAATAAAGTAATACTAGAATTAAAAATTATCAAAAAAAAAAAAAATTTAGGGGTAGCTCAAGACCTTTAAACATCAGACACACTGCTTAATTCTAAGAGTTTTTGGTTGAATTTCAAAAGACATCAGCTTTTTCTTCAGATTCTATTAATATGTATATGTACGAGCTTAAATGTGTTAAAAATAAAGTCCTAAGCGTTCCCTCTTAGTACAACGTCAGGGTGGCCACAGCTCCTTTAAAATCCTTCAAAGTCCTATTTTATTTAAAACCCCTGAAATCCTCTGTTATCCTCTAAAAAGTTAAAAATGTGATTAAATCTCCTCTTTAACTCCCTTTTTTTTTCTTTTTGTAATATATTTATTTTTGTAACAAAATATAGATATTTAGTATATCGAAGTACAGCAAAAACTACCTGCATCCCTTCTTTAAAATTGATGACATATTTACCATCCTCATTCAAAACAAATTAAATCTGTTTATCAGACTACTGAACAATCCAGTTTGAATCCAGTGAACTTGCTTTTCTCTGATTTTGGCTCAGATCTGATGTTGCTAAAGATAACCTATTTATCAACAAAGTAATAAAAATTTGCAATCAATTTGAGCTAAACTTCGTGCAGTGTTTGATAGAGGGAGAAAAAATAACGGTAAAACGTTGCTACGATGACGTAGGAGAAAATATAGCAGCAATTTTAAACCATTCTTTTGAATTCTGGAATATCAGAGAACAAAGACTGGTATTTACTAAGTTGATGGAGGAAAACATCCCAAGAAAAATTTAAATTTTTTACACTGAAAGTATGAACTATTAGTTTTATACAATTTGTTTTTTTACCTGTAATTTAGGTGTTAAAAAGAATAAATAAGAATAATAATAATATTTCTTTTTTAAGTTTTTCACTTAAAGCAAAATTAGGAGGAAAATATATTCAAGAAATCAGCTTAAAGCAAAATTAGGAGGAAAATATATTCTGGATATTTTACTCAAACAATTTTCCGATTTTTTAAACATGATTTGAATCATCTATGGAAATAAGGATTGGGTTAAAAAAAACAATTTAAGCAAATCCATGTCATCTAATATGAAAAATGACATTGTTCACCCCTGTCCAAACCACAGTATGTGGAAACATGGACGTTAAACCTATTAAAAAAAGCCTCTAAAGCCTCTATTTTTATTCAAAATTTAGTAGTTTGGCGAAAGAAATCCTCTAAATTAAATGCAATATTTTCTATAAAATCCTTTGTTGCCACCCTGAAAGTTGATCATTTCCTTATTCCACAAAAGAGTGTTTTAAAACAATATTATTTTAGTATTTTACCTTTCTCTTATTATAAATATCATAGAAAACCACATGACTATATATTGTCTTCGTCTTCAAAATATGGTTAATTTAATATATAATAATATCTTTAATGATTTGATTATTTTATGGCTGATGTGCTACTAGAATTATTATTTTAGGTCTGTTCTATATTACAGGTTTTAAAGCAAAGTAAAATGCGTAGAAAACAATTTTTTTTTTTCAAATTAAACGATGAGATGGTATTTATTATATAAATAAGTTAAAACATACATGTATTTAATTAGTTTAAATTTTTATAGATCTAATTGTGGAAGCTGTTTTTTTAAAGCTTCAATTCATAGTTTTTGTTAGTCTCTGCGGCGGCATTGTGCTTCACTGTTTTTGTTAAATTATTATGTACAGCTTGAAAAAAGTTCAAGAGGTTTCTGATTTCTATTAAGAAAATCTACAAGGTGGTATATAATATGGAACATCCATCCAAGTGATAATGTTCTGTCAAACAAATCTTTAAATTAGTAAATATTCTAAATATTTAGCAGATTAAACAAACTGCAAGTGGTTCTCTTAAAATTAGAATAAAATATTGCAGTAAGCCATTATAAATAAATTAACTAATAAATAAAAATCTACAAGGGGATAATTGTAATGAATTTTCAGCCTTTTTCTAGAAACTTTAGAACAGTTAAGATTATTTGCTCTGACAACTTTTTATCCTTAAAAATATTCTTAGCATTTTAAACAGCAGATGTTCTGGTGCATGGGTGCCTAATGCCCTTTCCAACTAGTTGAAAACAAACTGTGTAGAATGAGTTTAACCTTTTAATGCAGAAATTTTCATTTAAATCAATAGTATAATCCTTTAAATTAAAAATCTTGTGACTGAGCTTGTCTGATACCATACAACAAATTTACACATAAGCATTGATCATCAGTTGGAGTAACCATTGATCATCACTTAAATAAATTAATAAAATATTTTTAAAATATATTAACTTTTTTGGCATAGAGAGTATTTTGTACATAGTCTAGAACTAGTACCATCAACCAGGGGCTATTTTATTTTTTTTATTCTCTTTAATATGAGCGCTACATGTCTTTGCAGTTTGGGATCCCTATAATGCATATTTTAAAAACCATAATTATTTTTAATTAAAGTTATTATATTTGATGTCTGATCATTTAAACTTTTTGTAATGAAAGTACTGCATTCTTTTTTAATGTACTTCTAATAGTTGCATGCAGTTATTTTTATTTTTTTTTATGTGTGCAGTGTTTGTAACCTGTATTGTTTATCTTTATTGTAACTTATAACTTTTATTGCATATCTTTAGTCTACAATGATGATGATGCTTTGATTCCCAAAAATTCTTCTGTTATTGTAAAACGTGTTCCTATTCAAAGACTTGCTGCTGTGTAAGTTCAAGTTTATTATGAAAATTTTTTCAACATTATAAAAAGCCAAATTGTGAATATTCATTTTTCTATATGTTAAAAATTTGTATCAGTTATTAAAACTTATAGTCACAACTCTCTATATATACCTTTCAACACAACTCCCTCCTATTTATAATCTTCAATTACTTATTTCGAATATATGGTTCAATTACTTATTTTAGGTAACAAATAGTTTTATTTATTTTTTTTAATTTTTTTTTTCTTTTAATTATGATAGAAAATACAAAAACACACATTTATTTAAAAAATAAATTGCTTTTGGCAGAAACTCTATTAAAACCAATCAATATAAAGTACATTTGATAAGTTTAAAGTTTTATATATCTAAAAGCATTTTTTGTATAGCATACAAAACAAATAAAAGATTTAAGTTTTATATTTTTTATAACAAAAAATATCTGAATCCATTACATATTTTTTTGGCAAACATGTTTTGTTACAGAGCCATATGTTGCAATTTGCACATAACATAAGAGAATTATAAGTATTGAGAATGTAATTCTTTTCTACACTTTCTATATTTAATAACTTTTATTTTGGCTGAAGGTAATATAATCAATACTTTATTTGACTTTTTCTGCAGGGTTTTGCAATAGTTTTATGAGTTTAAAGATATTTTTACATTTTTTTTAGCTTAGTTTTCAGCAAATTTGAGTTGCCTAACTTTTTCTTTTCTTTTAAAATAATCTACAATACCATATTTAAAAGACATTGGCTAGCAATTTTTAGAATATTTGATTGCCTAGATTTTTTTATGTATTTTTTCTCTCGTGTAGTGTTCTGTACTCGTTAAACCTTGAAGCTGCTGTAGCTAGTTTTAAATATAATGCTAAAGATTTCATTGTTGGCAATTGTGTTGAAGATGTTGGTTGATAAAACTTTTCTGAGCCTATTGATTGATCTTGTTTTTTGTCAAGCAGAAATAACCCAGTATATTTAAAACTAGCAATAACATGCAAATGTGTAAAACATATTCTTATACACATGTTTGAGCTATAAAGGAAAATTTTCTTTATCTTAGTGTTTGCTCTTTGTGTTTTTGTAATATTTGGTAAGAACTGCTTTCCAAACCTGCTTAGCATGGCAATAGACACCTGTTCAGTGGCTGAAAAATGTGAGATAAGTGAGATGGTAGGAAAATCAAGTTATAAATTTTTCCCGACATAGTAATGCTACTAAACTGACATGTGGCACATGTCCATCAAAATGTAAAATATGTTATATATGTTTCCTTCAACCATTCAATAAATGGCTCATGTTTCATCCAATCAGAATCAGAAATTGAGTATTTGCTGCCAGTCGCACAACCTATTGTTCACTCAGTTCAAAGTTTGGTTTTGCTTTGTATACCACAAATGGAAGTGTTAATTAATCATAATCAATTACAGCAATTAAATACAATATAACAAATATAAAATATTCAATACAGCAACTGTTCACTGTATAATGGATTTTTTGAATTGTTACTAGTAAGCCACATAAATTTCATGATATAATTTTGTATTAAACCATAATTTTATTAACCAAGGATCTTAAATGCATGCACCATAATTTACTCTGATTGCTGTCAAAGTACAAATGTTGATTCTGATGCTTGAAGCTTGCATCATTGTTTTTCTGATTGAAGTTTTTTATTTCTTTTGTATCATTTAATGCAGCTTCTATATGTTCTTCATTGTAGAACTTTTTACTTGTTTACATCTTAAAAGTGAATAATTATTTAGTCATTTTTATTTAATAACTTTATACAAGAAACCAGAATTAACAGATGAGAAAATCATATCATTTAATTAAAAAAAACTTACCTAGGTATTTATTTAAAAAAACTTACCTAGGTATTTATTAAAAAAAACTTACCTAGGTATTTATTAAAAAAAACTTACCTAGGTATTTATTAAAAAACACTTACCTAGGTATTTATTAAAGGAATTTAAAGTAAACATGAGAATGGACAGAAAAAATTAAATATTTATTTTCTCTACCTTTTTGTCTAATTCTTAACTAAAATCAAAAAATTTTGTAATCTGTATTAAAATTATAGGGGTAAAATTTTTAAACATGTTTTAGAAATTAAAGGAAAAGCAAATATTTATGACTCTCTTATAAACTTTTATAAAAATATGAAAAATACAAAATGACTTGGATTTTGTTTTGAAATATTTGAATGGAATAGATGATTCTCTTTTCTCGTGATTGGTTTGACCCACCTTTCATCATACTAATAATGATTGTTTTATTGTAAATGAGCCATTTATTATACTTTTTAATGTTTTCTTTTTATAATATTTATTTCTAATATAAAATAATTTTAATATAAAATAAATTTAATATTTTAATATTTCTTTTAAGCTTTTATATCATGTTAATTTTTTTAATTAAATATTTTTAATTTTTTTGTTGCTCTTATTGTTAATTGTTTGTTGTTTTTACCAGGATGTTTATGGAAAGCAGTATTTAATATTGATAAGCCTATCCTGTATAAATATTCATGAATATTAATAATATTAATGATTATTTTGTTGTATATGAGCCATTCATTAAACTATTAATGATTATATTATTGTATTTTTATTTAAATGCAAACAAGTTAAAATAATAAAAATAAAATAATATTAATAATAAGCCATTCATTTTACTAATAATGATTTATTTTACTATATGTTTTTGTCCTTTTTTAAATTATATTATTAGTTATTCTTTAAAATTATTTTTAGAACGGATAAATCTTTATCAAAGGTATGGATTGTTTATATTTACGACTTAAATCGAACTTTGATCATATATATATATATATATATATATATATATATATATATATATATATATATATATATATATATATATATATATATATATATATATATATTTATATATGCGGTAGTGGTAAAATACTTGCTTCATAATTGAGAGGTTCTGAGTTCGATCCCCACTACGTCCCGGGTAGTACCGCGCTCAACTTGTTTCTCCGCGCAGCAGCCTTGTTCGTCAAGGTTCGTGTTTCGGAGTTATAGAGTTGAGAGAGGGTTATAACCACTATTAAGTAGCCTCCTTGTCTGTAGTGGCCTTCTCGGCCTTGAGGAGGTGAATAACAAAAAAATATATATGTATCATAAAAACTGAAGTTCCATCATCTATTTAAATATTTATAGTTCGTCAAATTTGCATATTGTATTTAGAAACTAATACTATATTATATATTGTCACAGAACTTTATTATCATAAAGTCACTGCAATTATATTATATATTAGTACAGAATTTTATTATCATAAAGTTGCTTCCATTATTGAAATGCAGATAATAAAGAAAAAGATAAATTACAAATGGAAGTTGTTAACTTGTCTTTTTTATATTTTCAAAAGACTTCTAGTTATCTGTTGAGATAACTAGAGGCCTTTTGAAAGCTCATAGAGAATTATATTCCAATGAACTCTAGAATATAATTAAATAAGTGCACACTATTTTATAGAAAAACCAAAATCATTGTAGTTTTAATGTCTTTGTTTTGGAGCTTTGACTTGTTGGATATACAACCATAACTGTTTAGATGTTTCTGTTAAGACAATTTAAATATTTCAGAAATGCACCCAAATCACTAAATTACGTAGAAAATAAAAACAAAAAGCTAAAAAAAGCTACAATAAAAATAAATAAGAACTCATATAAAATCTAAGTAAAAATTGTTATATTTTTAATTGCACTAAAATTAAATAACATTGAATCTTTTATCTTTTGAAATGTTTTGTTTAAAGTTTTGTGAAATACTTTTAAATTAAGTAACATGTTACTTTTAATAGTTTTTTAATAAATAGACTAATTTTATGTAAATTATCAAAGAGTATTATATTATTGAGTTGTATAAGTATGTAATTTTCCAAATAGTTAAACCCAAAAAAATGTTAAGTTATAAAGACTTTTAATATTTTTTAATCATTTCGTGCTTCAAATAATAAAGCAAGTTGAAAAAAAACTTTGAAAAAAAAAAATGTTAGCATGTTTTCACATCTTAACAAAACATATTTGTCCATGTAAGAATATATTATATCAAATTTATTTTTTAATAATTGTTTTATTTATTTTATCTAATTAAAGTTTTCAAAGTGACAAAAATCCAATGATTATGAGTAAATATAGAAAAAAGGTTATTAGTGCCTTACGTTAATAAGAACTTTTTTGTTTTACTTTTTAATTGTTATTTGCCTTATCCCTATTTAAGTCACTTGTTGTATGCACACTCTAAACTATAATTAACAACAATTTAAAAAAAAAAACTAGTTGTATGCACATCTAAACTATAATTAACAACAATGTAATGTAATGTAATTATAATTTAACAACAAATCATTTCAAAAACAAAACTACTTTGAATAAAACATTTAAAATTAAATAAAATAGTTTTCTAAGGAGGATTCAAACTGGCTTCTTAGACAGCTGCACCTCAAAATTTTGGCATTAGAACATCCACTGCACTGCACTAAATATTGAGTAAAAGGGAAAACTAATGTTAAGATATTTCATTCAATCAACAAATAATGCTTATTTAAAAAAAAAAAAAATGCAAATAAGTACATTTATATATTTTTATAAAATATAATTTTAATTTAAAAATTATCCTGATGGTTGACAAACCAAACATTTTGGTTTATTTTTAATTGTATTTCAAATATTTTTTGAAATTTAGTGACAAGTTAAACAATGCAAATAAACATGATTTTCTGATTGTGGCAGAAAATATTATATGATATCTCATAGCAAAAAAAATTCTACAATGACTTCATATACTGAAACTGTTATGAATTAAATGCTCATGAAGTCTGTTGGTTGCAGATATTAATATCACAATAAATTAAAAAAAAAAAATCAAAGAAAGAAAAACAATAATATTTTAAAAGCAAAAATTTTAAATGCTAAAACAGGAAAGAGTAAATTTGCTGACCATAAGAGACAATCAATGAGACAATTCAACATTTAACAATCAGAAGGATGATAGAAAATTAAAAAGAAAACTAAATGATATAATTAAATATTATTAGACAAATAATATAAAATCACTTGAATAAAAGCAACAAATATAAAAAAACAATAAATATAATTTGTATCAGCACTACAAAAAAAATACACAACGATATAAACAATACACAAAAGTGCACGCAAAGATTAACAATGCAGAGAAAAACTCCAGAGAAAAACAGTATAAACAATACAAAAATATACGCAACAATATAAATAATACACAAAAGTACATGCAAAGATAAACAATGCAGAGAAATACTCAACAATATAAACAATACAAAGAAATATGCAACAATATAAACAATGCAAACAACGTAAATTGATAAAACTTATTATTAATTCATGTTGTTTGCCTTGTTTATGTCACTTTCAATAACTTAATAAATTTTTTATTTTCCACTATATCACAAACATTTTTCCTTTTAACTTCAGTTTTAGTAGGTCTGTTTTTTAAATGTTTTTCTTCCATTTTTAATCTTAATATTTTCACTTCATTAGTTATTAAAAATTATCTTTTGCAATTAGTTATTTTTATTTTTCTCATTCATCTCATTTTCTTTTCATGGTTAAAATAATCTACCTCTGTTTTCGATATCATTGCAAAAAGTAGGCAAATGACATTTATTGTAATAAAAATAATAATAAAACGATTAATTTTCAAAGTTTTAAATAATATTATGTAACAGTTTATTGAGTTAGATAAAGTTTTTATTAATCATATAACCTAAATACTGTTTTTTTAGTCAACTGACTATTTAATTTATGACAGATATATTTTGTATTTATTTAAACATCAAAATACATTAGTCAAATTCATTATGATTTTTAACTAAATAAATTTATTTATTTTATTTTTTCTAAAGAAATAATAAAAATTGTTATTAAATGATTTAGTAATTATTTTTTCATCAATCACTCCTCAACAAAATGTAAGGCCAAAACAAAGTTTCTCTGTTAAATAGGTATACCTCTTTAAGAAAATCAAAAGTTTTTTCTCCATTCAAATTTTTCTAGAGCTATTGGTGTTAATGTCACTTTTTATTGTATTAGTAAATGCATTTTGTGCAAGTTTCATTAGTAAGTGCATTTTGTGGATTATAAAATAAACTTAATTGCATTATTTTGAGAGATAATTAAAACTATAATTTTGGGATTCAACTGGTTTAAACTTTATTGGAACAAAAGTTCAATACTGCAACATTAATTCAAACACTTTAACTCACCAAGTTCAGTTTAACTAAATAGTGTGCTATAATTTGAAATAAAATGACTTTCCCAGTTATTATCCTTGAATAATGACCCAGTTATTATCCTTGAATAATGACTGGGACAATCATTATTTACAAATAAAAGCAATAAAGTATATGGGCTAAGCATAAAGATTTTAATGATAATTTTATGGTCAGGCATAGTAAATATTCAATTATATTTACTCATCTATATATTTAGGTTACCAATTGAGATGTATCATTCAATTTCTTAAAACTCGTTTAATTTTCCAGAAGTTTTCGGATGTTTTTTGTTATTAATTTGAAAAATATATAAAATTTTAAATACGACAACGTTTGCATTTAAAAAAATATATTTTCTATAAATTTCTTTTTAGTTCATTCAAATTAACTTTTTCGAATATTAGAAATTCCTTATTTATAATTTTTTATTTTAAATTCCTTATTTATCCTTTTATTTTATTAAAATGATTTATAGAAAGAAATTTCCGGGATTTTCATTAAGTCAAAAACTCATCTATGATCTATATGTCTAGGTAACATTGACTACCAAACTCAATAGGATAATAATCAAGCGCTAGATGTTTAGTATCCTGTAAGTCAATACCATTTGGGATGATCTTATACCGTGTGTTGTTGCTTATATACTAATGTTGATACTATCAATGTTGATTTGATACCACTTGACACCAATGATAAAAAGAATTATGATATTAAATTATTTCATAGTCTTATTGTATATTGACAAGAAAAGTAATGAAAGTGAGATTTAGTGAATTCATTATGAAAAAAATACAAATATAACTTTTGGAGGTTTAAATGTTTTTTTTTAACTAAATGTTTGTTGAACACAGATGAAAGACTTTAACCAGATAAAGTATTCCACTCAAAATTTAAGTAAAATGATGAAAAATTAAATTATGAAGAGATTCTACACCATAAATTAAAATTGCAATACCATATGAAATATTTGATGATATGTATGCCATCATATGATACTACATTATCTTTATGAATTGGACAAATTTAAAATTTTTTAGATTTAAAAATTTACTTTTTTAAGTTACTAGTATTTTGCTAAAATAAAATACAAAGTTGGGTGTGGTCAATACCAAATGATTCTGTCACTACTGTCACAATATTGATATAATTAATGACTTTGTTAGTTTAACATGATTTTGATTTTTATACTGTAAGGTATCATACCAATACTAGGCAATAACTAAGGTTTGAGACCGATTGTTTAATATCAATCATAAACATAGTTTTAAGATCTTTGTTTTATAAGTTAAAGAGCACCAAAAATTATAAAAAACCAACTTAAAAACATTGTTTTATCTCTAACCAATTACTTATCAGAAGATTTCTCATATCTTCCTTTGATAGACAGTTGTCTGTAATCAAATGGCAGTATAAATTATATTGTATAAAAAATATTTAGGATAATATATCAAAACCACAACCAATTTAAAAACAGTGTAATTCATAAGTTCCAGTTTCTATGTATCATTTTTTTTTTATGTATAGTTAACATACCTTTCAGTAAATATGGACAGCTATTTTTTTATTAAAAGTATTTTTGCAGATGATTTATTTAGTAAAACAAAAGTGTTTTATATAGGAGGAAGAAGAACTCACTGAAATGGCTTTTGCTCAATTAAGCAAGGTAAATTGACTAAAACTGTTTAAAAATAATATTCTGTAATTTAATTTTTTTTTTCTGAGATAAAAAGTAATTTAAATCTGTACCACTAGACAGCTGATCTAGCTGGAGCACGAGCATCAGAAGATGATAAAATATTAGCTATGATGAGTCAATCTGGCTTGGATTTTGACCCATCTACGTAAGCTCAATTTTTTATACATTAGAATTTTTTAGATTTTTTTTCACAACTCCAAGTATTTTATATAATTAATATTTTATAATAGATATTTAAAACGTGCACCACCAAATTATGTGTGTTTTCGATGTGGTGGAAAAGGTCATTTTATAAGAAACTGTCCAACTCAAGGAGTAGGTTTCATTTGTTTATTATAAAACCTTTTTATTTTATTAATTCTGATTTAGCAATAAATCTTGTTAAATACTTTAAGCATAATTTACTGCTACACATGAATTGTCTTTATTTACAATGTACTGAAATAGTCTTTTGATGGGGTTTTATTTTTTCAAACAAAAAAAAAATGTTTAAAACCCTCAATCAATCTAGCTGCGCTCCCTTGCGGCATCAAGCTATAAGATAGTCAATGTATGTACTGAAGCCCCTGGCAGCAGGCTATTTTAGTATGATGTCAGAGTGCATATATATACACACCTTTTTAGTTATATATACATATAAATATATATAACTATAAATGTGTGTTTAGATAAATAATCAGGGATGTGGAGTTCCAAAAAGGACTCCGGATTTGAAAGTCACAAAAAGATTACTTTATCCTATTTTTTGGTATTCAGGAGCTCTAAAAATATAAATAAGTTTATGGACTACTAATAGGAAAAAAAATTAAGACTTTTAGGTTAGAGGAACAATCATTTTTTGAACCCGGAGTCCTTAGGTATAGTGGTGGCAAGGACTCTTAGACTCCAGGACTCCGAGCTTTCAAGTCATTTTTCAAGTCATCAAAGTTTCAAGTCATTAAATCTCATTAATTTTTTTCTTATATCATATTATAAGTCAACAAACATAATAAGAGCTTATGGACAGACTTGGAAAAAGTAGACATATTAAGCCCTTTTGAGACTCCGTATCCCTGATAATAATTAAATATCCGAATGTCCTAAGGTTGTATCTTACAAAATTAAACCATGATTCTGATTTCACTTTTCCGTAGACCAAATTTTAATTTCACATGGCTCATTTTTCAACAACAAGTTGCATCTGCCTTCTATAAATGTTCTATCAAAAAAGTTTTAACCTTTTTTTCTACTTACTTTTTTCTTCTAATTCAGAGCTAAAAATTTTAAATAAAAATAATTTTGTTTATTAAATTATTTCATCCTTAAAACTATTTGGTTTTAAATTTATTTATATTTTTTAAATTATTGCTTCTGTAGCCAACCACCAGATTATTTATATGCAATGTAATCATGTAATTGCCGTGTAATCATTTAATTACAATATAATCATTTAATTGCTATGTAATCATGTAATTAAAACAATTACTTACCTAAAGTACAAAGTTCTGACATCATAACTTTTTTTATGCAGTCAAAATATTTGCATAATGGTACTGATTAAATATTTTTTCCTGAAATATTTAACAATTAAACTATTTATCTAATGCAATAATATATATAAAAACATAGATATCTAACTCGAGCAGCAGTTGTGATGTAAATTTGTTTATTGGAAGCTATATTGAATACTGGCAAAAAGACGCAAAATAGGTTCTATAAGATTTTTAAAGATTATTTGATTTTACTTTTATTACTTAAAAAATAGTTATATCCTGTTCTGCTTATGGTTATACAAACTGATTTATAAAGCTAATGATGTATTTTTTCATAATTTCCTTTGAAAAATAGTGATCTGTTAAAAATTGTTTTGTGGCAACAAAAAGAGTTTTATTTATTCCAACAAAATGAAGTTATATATGTAGCATCCACTTTGATAAAAAAGATTACAATTATGAAAATACAAATAAACCTCGTTTAAAAGCTTATATCGTTACATTTATCTTTTTTTGTCTGACGATAATACATTATAAAAAACTATCAAAAGAAAATATAATTTCAACAATGTAAGTGAACATTCGAAACTGTTAAGGAAAAAAAGATATCTCTTTCATTTCCATCTTTCTCTTACAATGGTATTTTTACTAGTGTAGATTTTACTTTTAATAATCTAGGTAATACAGTTGATTTGCCATCCAGCCCTTGGAATTAGGAAAAATAAGGTTTTAGTTTAGGATGTTGAATGCTGAATCTTCTTGACTCAATGCATGGGTTTTGCTTGTGTCTCTGTTTTTATGACTAAGCAACTCATTTTATTATCTCCTAATGAAGGTACAGCTCTAAAACTCAGTTTTATGATTCTGAGGCCGGCTGGTAGTCAAGTTTCCTGAACTCAGTGGTAGCTCTCAAAGAGGCTGATTCCATCAACAGCTGAAAAAAGCAAAGTATTAACAGTGCCATGTTGCGCATGGATGGTGTACCTTTTTGTACTTGTGGTATGCATTGCCAACTCCACATTGGAGCCCTTTGTTACGGCTTAGGGTTTTTTAATGGTAATGAGGCGATTGCTGATGCTATTAAACAGTGTACTGAATATATGTTTCCATATATGCTATATATATTTCCAGTGGGTAGCAGTTACAGTATTGAAAACAGCCAAACTGATTAATCTCGAAAAGGGAATTTTCGGAATAACATATTAAATATTATAACATAGCAATAAGGAAATAGAGAATAACATGGAAATTGTAAAAAAAGGAGTTGTATCGAAAATCTGAAAAAAAGAGAATAACATGGAAATTGTAAAAAAAGGAGTTGTATCGAAAATCCGAAAAATAGAGAATAACATGGATATTGTAAAAAAAGGAGTTGTATCGAAAATCCGAAAAATAGAGAATAACATGGATATTGTAAAAAAAGGAGTTGTATCGAAAATCTGAAAAATAGATAATAACAAGGATATTGTAAAAAAAGGAGTTGTATCGAAAATCTGAAAAATAGAGAATAACAAGGAAATTGTAAACAAAGGAGTTGTATTGAAAATCCAAAAAATAGAGAATAACATGGAAATTGTAAAAAAAGGATTTGTATCGAAAATCCGAAAAATAGAGAATAACATGGATATTGTAAAAAAAGGAGTTGTATCGAAAATCCGAAAAATTGAATAATCTCGAGATTGTGAAAAAAAGAATAACGTTGAAAAGGGACTTTTCGGAGTAATATCGAAAAAGAGAATATATTGAAATTGTTAAAAAAGGATTAGTATTGAAAATCCGAAAAGCAAAATAATCTCGAATCAGCTTTTAGTTAAAAATATTAAAATTAGACATATCGGAATAATATCGAAATTGTGTAAAAAGGAGTATTGTAAATAGTATTGAAAATTTAAAAAACGGAGTTACATCGATATCGTGAAAAAAGGAACAATATCAAAACAGGAATTTCCGGAATTATATCCAAACTGTGAAAAAAGGAATATATCGAAATCAAATTTTTGATGTTAATCATTAAAATGAGTTTTAGATCTTATTCTGTTTTTATTGTTTTCGACATTAATTGGAAAATCACGTTCTCGATGTTAATCATTAAAATGAGTTTTCGATCTTATTCCTTTTTTATTGTTTTCAATTTTGTTCCACATTTGTGAAATTTGATTTAAAAACTTTTGGATATTAATCAGAAAAACATATTTTCAATGTTAATCAGTTAAATTATTTTATGATCTTATTCCGTTTTTATTGTTTTCGATATTGTTCCACATTAGTGAATTTCGATATAAAAACTTTTTGATATTAATCTGAAAATTGCATTTTCGATCTTAATTATTAAAATGAGTTTCGGTCAGTTATTTTTCAATATTAATCATTTTTTCAATCAATTAATTTTCAATACTATTCCGCTTTCCCTCTCCAGTCAAGTTCTTTAACATTTTTAAAAATGAATAAAGTAACAAAAATTATAAAACACAAAAAAAAACTGTCATCACCAAGTTTGCTAAACCTATCATTTACTAATATTCGTAGTCTTTGAAGTAACTTTTCTTCTGTTGAGTCTTATCTCTTGCAAAGTTCACCAGACCTACTTGCTCTTTGTGAGACTAATTTGAGTTCAGCTGTCTCATCTTAGTGATCTTAGTGTTGATGGTTATCTTCCTTTAATTCTTAAAGACTCCAACAGTCACATGCTTGGCCTGGGCATTTACATTCGTAAGAATTCACCCATTTGTCAAGAAATTAGGTTTGAATCTACACACTACTCTTTTATGTGCTTTCGTTTAGCACCATTTCACTATATCACCTTTCTCTTTGTTCCATATCGCTCTCCTTCATCTCAAGATTGCATTCTTCTTAATGTTATTTCTGATCATATTGATTTAGCCCTCTCTTTATCCATCAGCAAATATTGTTGTTGTCGGTGACTAATGTTCATCACACTGAATGGCTTGGCTTTAGTGTCAGTGATTTGTAGGCATTAAAGCCCACAACTTTTGCCTTTCTCAATCCCTAACTCAGATAGTTAACTTTCCAACTCACTTTCCAGACAACCCGAATTATTTACCTCCTCTACTCGACTTATGTCTTGTTTCTGATCCTAGTCAGTGCTCAGTTTCTCCACATTCACCCTTAGGCACCTCTGAACACAGTTTGATCTCTCTAAAACTAATATATCATTCTTCTTCATCATCAGAATCTCCCTATCATCATACATCCTACAACTACCTTAAAGCTGACTGGAACTCTTTCCGTGATTTTCTTCGGGATGGCCCCTGGGTAGATTTCTTTTGTCTTCCTGTTGACAAATGTGCTTCTTACATAACTTCATGGATTCAGGCTGGCATGGAATCCTTTATTCCCTCTTGACAATTCCAGGTCAAGCCTCACTCTTCTCCATGGTTTTTCTCACATTGTGCTGCTGCAATTGCCAATCAAAACCATTACTTCCAAATCTATCAGCAAAGCAATTCTCCAGAAAACAGACGTCTGTTTATAACTGCTAGGAACCATTATAAAAAGGTTTTGTCTAATGCCAAAGCCCGCTATTCTCAGGTCATGAAACCTCATATTTCATCACAAAAATTAGGCTCTTATGACTTCTGGAGAATCTTTAATAGTATCAATAATAAGGGCAAGTCTGTAATTCCAACTCTTTTGTATGGTTCAGACTTTGTCACGTCACCTAAAGACAAAGCTGAATTATTTGCCAAGAACTTTTCATCAATATCATCTCTTGATTCCACTTATTGCATTCTACCTGAAATACCAGTCAAACAGGTTGATCCATTGCTTCACATTTGTATCACTCCAGCATCTGTATCTAAAGTAATTTCCTGCTTAGACTCTTCTACAGCTTGTGGCCCTGACAACATACCTTTTAGACCTGTCATCTATCCTTTCAAAACTATTCAATAAGTCCTTATCAGAGTCTCGTTTTCCAGCCTGCTAGAAGGCAGCATCTGTTTCTCTATTTTTAAAAATTCTGGAGAGCGATCTGATTTGTCTAACTACTGTCCCATTAGTCTTCTTCCTATCGTAAGCAAGGTTTTTGAATCTTTAATTAACAAACACTTAACCTATCATCTTTAATCTAATAACTTGCTTTCTGATCATCAATATAGATTTTGATCTTCTCGTTCTACGGCTGATTTGCTAACAGTAATAATTGATTGGTTTCATTGTGCATTAGATAAAGGTAGAGAGGTTAAGGCCATCGCTCTTGACATTTCTAAAGCATTAGATAAAGTTTGGAATGCTGGTCTTCTCCATAAGCTTTCTTCGTACGGTGTATCTGGAAACATCTGTAAGATTATTGCATCTGCTAATGTTGCATATCTTTATTGACACTTTATTACTCTGGATTTTATTCTCTATCTCTATAAATCTCAAATTCGGCCTTGTATGGAATACTGTTGCCATATAAGGTAGCTTTTAGGATCTTCTAATAATGCTGTTTCTCTTTTAGGCAAGGTGCAAAAAAACATGGTAAACACAAATAAACCTGCTCTTGCAGCCAACCTTCAACCATTATCACATTGTCGTAATTTTGCTTCTCTTTCTTTTTTCTTTAAATACTATAATGGGCACTGATCTAAAGAGCTAGCGTCTCTTGTGTCATCTACTAAAATTTATTCTTGTGTTACTCGTCATTCAATTAAGTCTCATACTTTTTCTGTGACTGTTCCTAAGTGCTCCAAAAACTCTTATTCGTTTAGTTTTTTTCCTCGAACATCAGTTCTTTGGAATTCGCTTTCTTCATTTTTTTTTCCTGATTTATATAATTTGCAATCTTGTAAGTTGTCTGTCAATCGTTATCTTTATCTTTTCTTTTCCAGTAACTTCCAAAATTTGTGAAAATAAAAACTAGCATTAGACATATTGTTTCAAATAAGAACAGCTAGTTTGATCTAACTTTCAATACCATCTCATATATACCATCTCAATACCATCTCATATATACCATCTCATATATACCATCTCATATATACCATCTCATATATACCATCTCAATACCATCTCATATATACCATCTCAATACCATCTCATATATACCATCTCAATACCATCTCATATATACCATCTCAATACCATCTCATATATACCATCTCAATACCATCTCATATATACCATCTCAATACCATCTCATATATACCATCTCAATACCATCTCATATATACCATCTCAATACCATCTCATATATACAATATACCTTTCTTTCAGCACATCGGCCATAAAATTTTAATACTTTTGCAATGCTAAACTGCTTAATGTTTTTTACTGGTCTTGTTTGTAACTTATTTAAATATGAACTAGTGAATAAATGCAAAGACCCTAGAGTTCACAGATCTTTTGAAAAAGTAATCAAGTTGACTCTTACACCATTTTTATTCACCTCGTGTCTATATTTTTGTAAGATCATTATTTTTTTTGTTAGTCATCTATTGATTGTTTACCTAGATTTTTAAAGATATTTTTTCTTACTTAAAACAAAAAGGATTAGAAGACATTGCATAATAAGATTGTGCACTGATCTTCGATTCTATGCATATAAAATCAGGTCTTATTTATAATCCAAGTAATAGTAGCTATAAAGGCTTTTAGAAAATGGAAACAATATATCTGCTTTTGATCCAAGTAGCATTGCTATTGCTACTCTCAATCAAGTTATTAATTATTTAACTTATCTTTACATAGGGAAAGTCTGTTGGTAACTCCATACACTTAATGTACAGCTTAAATTAAAGAATCTAAGTGATTTTAAATTCTATAAAAACATTATTTGAGTGAAAATATGGCATATGAAAAATTTCTATCATAATATGATGGAGCAATTGGCTGGGAGTGCAGGATATCACTACCAGAAGAGCAATGTATCATATTTGATTCACATATTAATATACTTAATTTTTATGTAAACTAATAACTTTTTATTAATTCAAGATTTTTATTTATAATAGTTATTATGAAAAAAAAATTCACTTAAAACTTTAATTCACTGGTTTTAAAACAAGTATTTGTAAACTAGGTACAATCAAGTGTTTTTGGACACATGTTTGGCGGGTGGTTCTGGATGACTTAATTAGTTTACATATTAAAAATGGACAACTTCTTTATATAACTATAAATACATTTAATTTATTATACAAACATATATATACAATACATAATAGTAATTCAATTAGTTTCAATAAAAAGATCTATAATTTGAAAATAGTGTTTTTAAAGTGTTTATTGTCATTAGTAAAAATTTATTGTTTATATTTCTAAACGATGAAAGTTTCATTCCCATTCCTTATATATCAGAGACATATGTATTGAGATATATATGTGTTGAGAACAGGTCAATGCTAAATTATTATATATTACATTTGTGTCACACTGGTAAAAAGAGTTAAAAGTGTCCAGGCTACCCTCCAATTTTGAAACATGCCTTTTTTTTACATTTTTTGTATATTATTAAAAAACAATAATATTTTTTTGTTTCTAATTTGATAGATGAATGTTTACACTTTTAAAAAAGTTTTTTGAAACTTTGTTTTCTGTTAGTACATGTGTACATCTATATTTCTCCTTAAGTGTCCGGGGTACCCGACTTTGCCCTAAATATATATACCATAAATTTACCTAATTTCTGTTACTTAAGCTTTAAACATTCATATCTCTGACTTAAGTAAACTTTTTTTTTTTACATTGACCTGTTCTCAACACATTATAAAAAAATGTTGCCTTCAAAAATCATCTCTGATATATAATTTTATCGTTAATTTATATTGTGAAAATAAAAACTAGCATTAGATATATTGTTTCAAATAAGAACAGCTAGCTAAAGTCACATTTTGTACAATCAATATTTCACAACACTCTATCTAATTATTGTTTTTAACAAATAGTGATGCGTTGCACATAATTCATAGGTGACCGTTATAGGATTTAAGTTTCAATGATTATGAAGAAAAAGACTAATTTTAGTTAACTTGGTGACTCTAAATAATGCTATTGCTAAATTTGATCATTTATTCAATATTTTGCTTATTTTAGATTTCAAAATTCTTGTTTCGTGAAGGAATTATTTCAGCAGATTTCAAATAAAAAAATAATCTTTTTTTTATGATTCTTAAGCACAAATATTGAAAAAAAAGTTTGTAAAAATTGAAATTTATATGTATTTTTGTTATTTATTCTTAAATGACTAAAGTTACATGTCAATAGAACTTGGACAATTTTTATGGTATATCAAATTTTTTAATTTTTAAACGTTTCAATTGTATCAATCAAAAAAATAGAATTGCTTTCAGTAGTTAACATGGATGTAAAAGATCATCTACAGTACTTCTGTTTCATATTTTACAGATGAAAGACGTTTAAATCCATAAGAGAACTTCAATGTTGCAGCTGCATCGTTTTTATGAGAATCTAAAAATTCTTGCAGAAACCAAAGTTATCATTAGTAATCTGTTGTTAATGTTTTCATATGAAGAACCGGGGGATCTTCTTGCTTTTAATAAAAAGGCAAGAAGATCTCTCGATTGAGAGACATTAATAAAAAGCAATATGATTTCAATTATAAAAAAAATTAGTGTTAGTTCACCTAAAATGTACATCTATTGCAGAACAAACATAGCTATGTGTTAATAGTAAGTTAGAAGAATTTGAAATTGAAATCAAGACAGTTAAAATGTCATCAACACAGCTTATTACATAGATTAGATACATAGCTTATTACAGCTTATTACATAGATATAGACACCCATTAGAGAGTTTTTCAAACAATTTAGATATTAATTAATAAAATTCAAATAAAATACTGTTTAGAAAAAATGAAACTTTTTAATATATACTAAACTTCATGTACTTGCTGGAACTAAAAGTCACTGAGTAATAAGAATATAACTTCAAAATAAATTCATTTATTTCAAGCGTAATGAAATAAGAACTGATGTTTTTATCTAAAGTTTATCAATTGTAAATATTGCAGATTTGATTATTTTCTACTATTTTGAATAATTATATATAAAATTTAAAGTTTTTACACAAGGTCTCTTCTTTTTTTGATGTGACATGTGTTGAAAGTTTTCATAACCTTTTTAGTAATGATGTTTGTATAGCAGTATAAAATGTGTAATATAGAGATTTAATTGATCTGGTATTAAAATTGATAAAATAATCATATTTGACTTAAGCTATTTATTTATAATTGAAGCATTTAAAAGTTTATTGTTATTGATGACAGTATTGATAATATTTTTAAAACTTAATAATTTTAAAAACATTAAAATTTTTCAATTTCAATGTTTTAAGATAAAACATTTCATAATATTTTTGAGGTAGTAAAATTTATTAAATGTTCAGGATGCAAGATACAATAAGATGCAAATAACTCGCCAGCCTTCAGGGATTCCCAGGGAATACTATCTTATGAAAATGAAGCAAGAGTAAGTTTTGTTCATATAGTCTATTTATATTTATCTTTAGATCTGTATGTTATGGGATCTGTACTTACTTGAAAATCATTGTAATTTTAATTATTTAATTTTAAGGGAAGATCTTATAGCTAGCCTACGTGCAATGCAAGATGAAAATAGTCGTTTCTCTCCTGTTGTAGGGAGTGATATTGTTGACCATTCAAAAGTCCCATCAGAGTTGCAGTGTCCAATGTGCAAGAAACTATTCACTGATGTAGTTGTCACTCCTTGTTGTGGGGAAAGTTATTGTGATGAATGTATTTTTTTTCCCTTATTTTTATTTCAGAATTTTTATCTTTTTGTCATTTTTTTAGAGATCTTTTTTCTTATTAATATAAAATTCTTTTTAAAAATCTATTTATTTAAAGTTTTTATTCACATGATAATTTGATGTGTATTATGAACAATATTTTAAAAAAAGATGACAAAATGAGATTTAAAAGTCATGATATACATGTAACTTTTATAATGATTGTTATGAATATATATGTTGACTTTTAACATAGTTGTATTTAATTTATCTAAAAGAAGACAATAAATAAATTATTTATATTTAAAGATTTAACTTATGGTGGCACTATAATGTTATGGATTTTTTTCTGAAACTAGTAAAAATATCAGAGTAATGTAATAATGATAAATTTGATTATTGATTTTAAAGAAGTTTTTATGGATATAAATGTGTATAGATATCAAAGCTAGGAATAGCTAATCAAGTTAAAATAAAAGATCAAAGGTATTCTAGTTAATCAGTTAAGATTTGCAGATAAATTAATTTATGAAATAATTTAAAATAATGCGTTTTGCATAGAGATTTTATAGCTAGCAAGTTATTAATATCAAGTAACAAGTTAAAGCATTGTAGCTTAATCACTTTTTTTTATTTTAAAAAAAAAAAAACAGATTTTTTTTAAACAAGTTCAAGCCTATAATTAAAAATTAAATAGAATATAGTATTATTAAAAGAATATAGTATTATTAAAAGAATATTGTATTATTAAACAATTTACATAATGCTCAATTAGTTTGACAAGTTATTTTATAAATAAACAGAATAGAGAAGTATACAATCATTAATATGTAAATTTAAGTTGATTTCAAGGTTATTAGAAAATGGGTAATTTTTCTAGTTCTAAATCAAAGTCTCTGATAAAATTGATTTTAACTCTTATTACAAGAAATAATTGTTAAAATTAAGTTATTTAGTATTGTTATAAATCAAGATTGAAATCTTTTTTAATCAAGATTTCAAATTAAATTCTTTACAATAAACTAATATCAAAGTAAGAGCATTGTATAACAAATTTATACAGCATTTAAAAATTTATGTGTTTTATATATACAATTATATGTATTTATATATGTATATATATATATATATATATATATATATATATATATATATATATTGTATATATATTATATATATATGTATGTATATATATATGTATTTATATATGTATATATATATTGTATATATATTATGTATGTATATATATATATATATGTGTGTGTGTGTGTGTGTGTGTGTGTGTGTGTGTGTGTGTGTGTGTGTGTGTGTGTATGTATATATATATATATATATATATATATATATATATATATATATATATATATATGTTTTAATAAACTAATTGGTCATATTTTGACAAATTAATGTAATAAAATTATTCAATATTATTTTATCGTGTAAGGCATTCGTACTTACTTGGTTGAAAATGACATCATCTGTAAATGCGGTGAAACAACTTCTCCAGATAATCTGATCGCTAACAAATCACTAAGAATAGTAAGTTGTTTTTTTTTCTCTTTAATTTTTTTTGTTATTCCTCAATGTTTTGACTGGTATAAAAACAATAATGTGGTACCATAATTAGTAAATGGGAAAATTTTAACAATATTTAACAAAACAAATTTTTTTCTACCATCTCATAAAGTCTACAAATTTTAAAAAGTTGAAGGAAACCTGTTTGACAATAACAGTTAAACCAGTAGTAAAAGTAAGTAAACAGTACTAAGTGATTTTGTTTTATAGTTTATGAAAAAGTCCTAAAAAAAAGAATAGGCCTTAGAAAGAATAAAATAAATATTCCTCTAGTCACAATTTTATTTCCACATTAAAATTTTAAAATTACAGTGTTTACTACAAAGTTAGGTTATCATGCAACTTAATTTATTTAAATTTTTTTTAGAGAAAATAATAAAATAAAAGTAGATCCCTACACTTGTAACTATCAGTCAATTTTTGTGCTTCTGTCTGATTATTCTAGTTATTCTATAAATTCATTAAAAAGGAGCAAGCCAGCTAATTAACTCACAACTTGTTCCTATTTCTAAGTTACTTCAGTATGATAAAAATCAATCATGCAGTTACATTAAAAAATGTATATATATATATATATATATATATATATATATATATATATATATATATATATATATATATATATATATATATATATATATATATATATATATACATATATATATATATACATTTTTATATATTATAAAATGATCTTTTATTATATATTATTAAGTTAAAATGCTCAAATTATATTTTTGTATATTATGAGTTAACGAGTATTATGGGGAAGACATCTGTTGTCTGAAAAAATTCATTTTAATAATTAAAGTTGATTAATTTACTATTAATTTAATCTATTCTTTACATTTGATAGATAAGACAGTTAAAAGTTAATGAAAAAGATAAATAATTATCTATAGTAATTAAAAATGTTCTCTGAGGATAAAATAAAATCTGGTTTAAATATTATATTCTGAGCAAAATAATTGGTTTTGGATCGCAAATTATTAATGGTTTTTTTTATCTGTTATTGTTCTTTTAAGGTTCTGCTTATAAGTGTAATTTATTGTTGTTGTTTTTTTAGAAAAGCCTTGGTAAGATTTTTTAAGCTAGTGTTAGGGTCAGGTTTATTAAGCTGAAAAAATATATATTTCTAAACCTACTTTATATAAATATACAGTTGGATTTGTTTTATTTCAAAAAGCAGTTAGCATTGATTGTGCTACCCTATCCCTGTGAATTTAACTCTGCATGTTACATCTTAATGATGTGATGTTAAAAGTAATAGCATGCATCTGCTTTTGCATATGCAATGCTTCTGAATGTGCATGAAACTGATTGGTTATGGTGTAGGGAAGTAAGATAATATTTTAGACAAGTGTCTCAATTTTTATTATTTTTAAATTTAAAATAGAATGAAGTGAACCTGTGTTTACATAAAAAACATGAAAATGTTTTTTAAAAACTATTTGTTTTTAGTCTGTAAATAACTTTCGGAATCAAAAGAAAGAACTAAAAAGTGTACCAAGTTCAGTAGCAGTTAGTCAACCTGTTATTAGGTATCTTATTTCACTTTTATTTTAAAAAAATTTTTTATTAGAGTACTTACATTTTTTTATGACTAGCCGAGACATTATAGTATGCTGTCAGAACACTTAAACCAGTGTTGGCAACTAAGACAGGTTCAAAAGTTTATTGCTCTTAAACCTTTCTCTTCAATGAATATCGTGTATCAGTTATACTAAGTAGACAAAAAATTTGTAAAATAGCTTTTAGTTAAACCATCTATTTAGTTGTAATATCTGCAAATTTAATGACTGCAGTATCATTTTTAAAATGACATTTTTATACATTTTAGTCATGTTATGTTGCCGAATTCTACAGAATCAGTAGTTGACTTTTCAACTACTGAAAGTTCAGGAATATTTACTAACGGTAATGAAGCTCCCAATATTCAAGTTACTGAGGCAACAGTGATGAATTCTCCAAAAAAATTTCAATCAGAACAGCAACCAATAGTTGTAAGACTTTTTTTAAATTTTTTTAATAATATTTTATTTTATGTATTTATGGCATATTATTTATTATATATATACATACATATATATATATATATATATATATATATATATATATATATATATATATATATATATATATATATATATATAATATATATATATATATATATATATTTATATGTTTATATATATATATATATATATATATGTATATGTGTATATATATAAATATATATATATATATATATATATATATATATATATATATATATATATGTATATATATATATATATATATATGTATATATATATATATATATATATATATATATATATATATATATATATATATATATATATTATAATTAAATATATTTGTGTAGTTTTATTATTGTATATGTGTATTCTTATTATAATTGTGATATTTTCTTCAAGGGTCCAAATGTTGTAAGTCATGTTGAAATGCCGCAAATGATTGCATCTATTCCTCAACATATTTTATCTGGTTCACAGGCACTCTTTCCTTCTGTTCCAGGAGGTATTTCTTCACAAGTTTGTTCTATAACTTCTTCTGCAAGTTTGTTTTATTAATTTTATTCTGGTTTTGATGATTTTACATTTTAGCTATTTATTCTCAATCTGGGTATGTCTTGCCTCAAACACGAATGCTACCAGGTGTTGTTGGGTAAGTTGTTTTTGTTTTGTTTTATATTTCTCTTTTATTTTTTGTTATATATATATTTTTATTATTTATATATTTTTTTTCTATATTAGTTGCTGTATTTTTTTGTTTTTAATCATGAATTTTACCTTTTAGGTTAAGTATTCCACCAGGTGCTACTATTATTAAGCGACTTGTACCAGTACCAGTTGGTCCAAGAATAGGAATTCCGACTCAAACCGTTTTGCCACCTCAGTTTGTTACACACCAGCCACTAAACCATCTTAACCAAGGAATGATGGCTCGTATTTCACTTGCTCAGAAATCTAAAGAGTTGTTAAAAGAGCCTGAATCGCCAATGCCTTTAACAGAAGATGAATTTTATATGTGGCAAAGCAAAATTAAAAAACAGTTAGTATTAATTTTTGCAACTTTGAATGGAAACTATATAAATAAATGTCAGTTAACATATTATTTATCAGATATATTTTTTAAAGTTTTATATGTTTTAATTTATTCGATGTTTTATATACGTTTCAATATATACTATGTTATTAATCTTATTAGCTTATGTCAGTTTCATATGTAAGAAGAATTAATTCTCAATATATTTTGAATAATGAAAAATCTTAAAATTATGATGAGTGTATCATAAGAAATCTCGTTTTTTTAGCTCACTGCAAACTCATTGCTGTAAGCTTAAAAAAAAATTTATTGCAATGATGTATTACAACATCTTTGTAATACAAAATTAATTTGACTTTATAGTAGCTAATGATTAGCGTTTTAGACTAATTTATATTTTTAAATTTTAGTGATGGTTAAGACCCAATAAGCAATCTGGGTGCGCAAGTTTTTAAATAAACAGTTTGATAGAATCAAAAGATGTTGATAGGTTTTGCTAGAATTTATCTTTTTATAATTTTTTTTTTTTATTTATTCTGATTCAATTCAATTCTGATTCAAGCAACCATTATAAAGTTGAGAGTTTCTCAAAAAAAAAGAATAGAGTTATAGAGCAAGGAAACAGTTGACAGAAGACTTAAAATGTTGAAGGTTGTATGAGTCAGGGAAATATGATTATGGAAGAGAGTTCCAAAAGGTTAAAGTGCAAAAAACTTGATAAAAGGTTTTGGAGCATGCAGGGACAGATACAGTAGAAGAATGAGACTTGAATGACAAGTGATGATGAGCGAGAATAAGTTTTAGTTGATGGAACTAGAGATGAAGGCTCCTTTGAACAGCGGCCATATAGTATTTGTAGAAACGAGAAAGAGATGCAACTTTACGACAATGGGATAGTGGCTCAAGCTTAGCAGATAAACTGGGTCCAACTACATTTACAATTCAATTTTGGATTTTGTCTGGAAGAGAAAGAGCATCATTAGACCAACCACCCCTAATATGACAACAGTATTCCATACAAGGACAAATAAACGATTTGTAGAGGTAGAGAATGGAATCAGGAGAGAGAAAATGGCAAGCACAATAAACAGAAGCAACTTTAGAAGATGCTAATTTAGCAATCAATTGTATATATGGTTTCCTTGAAAGGTCAGTAGTAAATGATAATCCAAGAAGATGTAAAGAAGAGGGCTCAGTGATAGAGTTGACATTCATCGATATCAGCAGGAATATCAACAGTACTTTGATAGTTGTTTGCAGTAAATAACTGAGTTTGCTAAGAAGGATGAGAGATAATATATAATAAAACCATGGTAGTATTAGTAGAAAATATTTATGAAAAGAAATATTTTAATGTTGTTGAGGCATAAAGTTTGCCTGTCAAAGCAGGTCTAACTGCTGCTTACAATATAGTTTTGCATGCTGTCTAAAATAAAATGGACATTATTATAAAGATTAGTCTTAAATATAATATCAGTATTTCATCACAAGAAAAATGAGGAATTTTTCAGATATAAAAAGAATTCAGTTAAGTAGACAAAAAAAAAACTTATAATGGTTTACTTTTGCTGTGGTTTTGGTTTTTAGGAGATAAAATTATTAAAGTTATTTTGAAATATGTAAATTGAAGACTCTGTAACCATGTCATTGTGACAAATTGTTTTATTATAAACATGGTTTACTACGAACGCAAATAGAGATTACAAAATATGTTACATATTGGTTAGCATCAGGTTTAAAAGGTCATTTTTTTTTTAAGTATTAACTAATTTTTTTGTCCATATAATCACACAACATAATTCAAGATAGCATAAGTTTTTTTATTTATGTAACAATTTTTATACTATGAATTTATTTTTAGAAATTATGTGCAATAAAAAAACTAATAAGGAATTATCTAAAGTTTTTAACAATCATTAAGGATGTTTAAAAATTTTAAACTATTAAATTGTAAACTGTAAGAAGAGTGTGATATATCTGTATATATGTATATACAAGTATATGTTTTTTTTTTGTTTAATGTGTTTTACTAAATGTGTTACTGTTTATGTTTGTTTATTATGTGATGTTCACTATTTATCTCCTTTAGTGATCCTCGTTCTAGACATCGGCACCGTAGTTCTTCTCGTGATCGTTACAGAAGTCGCAGTCGTAGTCCTTACTACAGAAATCATAGTGTTTCACCAGTCGGTTCTAGCCAAGAGTATAAGAAGAAAAGTAAAACAAAAAGACGCCGTCGTGAATCTTCCCAAGAAAGTGGTGGCGAATCTAGTAGTGTAAAGCATAAATCACGCTCTGAAAAAAGACTTCCAAAAACTGATTTAAAAAGATTTGTTCCAGATCACATAAAACGTGAGCTAGATGAATTTGAATTTGATAATGAAGTAGAATTTGATGAAGAAATGCTTAGTTTAAAGAAAAAAAAAGGTAAGGTAAAAAATAATGAACATTCAGTTAAAAATACTAAAGATTCCTCACCAACTTCAGTTTTGAAATCTTTTTCTGAAGGGGATAGTAATCTTACTAAAGCATCAGATGATTTTAATGTTGAATCTGCTGAAAATAAGACATTAACAAGTAGTGTTGTAAATAAGGCAGCGCAAGAAAATTTAAGAATTCCAGTTGTTGGCGAAACTATTGCACCAAAGCGAAAAACAAGAATAGTTAAAAAGAAAATTATTCGTGTCATTAAAAAAAAAGTTCCTAGGAAAAAAGTTCCTTTATGTCCTGATAGCTCTGAGCAACTTACAAATTTATTAGAAGTAAATGATTCAATTAGTAATGAAGTTTTAGGGAAAGATGTTTCTATCAATGGAGAACCACTACCAAAAGTAGAACTTGATAAAATTGTACTTGTGTCAGAGGATAAAAATAAAAATTTGGATGAAGTGATCAGCATAGCAGAACAAACAGCTAAACCTGGTGTTTTAGTAGATAAAAAAATAGATGACAAAAACGCTCAGAGTTTCAACATCTGTAAAGATGATAAGCTATTACATATAAATATTGACAGTTCAGAAATGCCAGAAAATAGTCGATGGCAAATTGAAGAAACAATTAGTAATAAAAAATTAAAACTTTCTACTTCTCCTACAAATAAAACATCAGTGATTTCTGTAGTATCAAGCAGAAAACCAAGTCAAAAGTTTGCTGAAAGTGATGTTGCTCAAAAAAGAAAATTTTCTCAGAGTGATAATAAAAATATTAAAAAAAGAGTAGTATTGTTAAAAAGTACCCAATCAAAAGCTGAAGAGGTTGCAGCAGAAGTTCTCGCTAAAAAAGAAGCAGAAAAACTAGCTTTAGCCCAACAAGTAAAAAAGGCATGTGCCTCTTTTCGTAAAGAGCAATCCTTGACTAGTGACATAGAGGAGGATGGACTAAGGCGAAAACGTGAGCGTCGTGAGAAATATCTTCTTGTTAAAGAAAAAAGGTTAGCTAAAGAACGTCAATATTTAGAACAACTTAAAGCAGCTAAGAAAGATCCGCAAAAGGAAAAAAAAGCACATATTTCAGGTGAAAGTAGTAGTGATGATGATGGAAAAATTGAAAAACGTCCGGATCAAGAATTTTACAAACCTGGAGAGAAATTAAAAAGTATTAGTGAAATGTCAAAAAAACGTTTACAGCAAGAAGACCAAATGAAGTCAAATACTAGAATGGATCAAAATGAAAGTGATGTGTTAAAGTCAAAAATATCAAGTTTGACCGTTATCACTGCTAAAAAAATAAATGACAGAGCTTCTGATGATGAAACAATAATCAGCAATGAAACTAAAGATTCTCGCAGGGTTGTTTGTATAGAAAGCAACAAACGGCTGTTATCTTCTGAGGTTGCTCTGCCTAGTGAAGCAAAATTAAAGAGTTGTTTGCAGGGTGATTCTATTCGTCCATTACGGGATGAACCATTAACTGAAAAAAGACTTAAACAAGATACAGATAGAGAGAAACGTCGACATATACGTTGTGAGACTCGCAATGATGTCAGTGACTATCAAAGAAGTTTAAAGACTGATCAAACTCGGCGTGAAAAATCTAAAAATGAAAGAAATGATATGTCGCGTGTTCAGGAATTAGAAAGAGAAAGGCGGTTAGCAGTACTTGAGAAAGAACAACTTGAAAGAAAGTTAAAAAAAGAACGCAAACTCAGAGAAATCATGGAAAGAGAAAAATTACAAGCTGAATTAGTGAATAAGGCAAGTTCTTTGAATGCAGAAAACAAAAGCAAAAATATATCTGTTGAAAACTTTGAAAATAATTCTGAAGCAGAAGATTCCACTGACAGTGAAATAGAAAAAAAATCTAATAAAAAAAAATCAAAGAAGATAAAAGAAAGAAAACGAAAACGAAAGGTAAAGTTATTTATAATACATAAAGTTGTATTTTTAGCAAAGAAAATCTGAAGTTTTATAATTTGTATAAATAGATTATTTTTTAAATATTAATTATTTCACTAATTTATTTTTATTTGTGTATTTTTATTAAAGCCCAAATATAATGCTACAAGGCATATCATATTTTATGAACAATATTTTTAACTAATTGAAAAAAAAACTGTATATGAAAATAATAGTATAATCAGGGCCTATTCTATGAAAAAAAATTGGGTGGCAGTACCCCCTTCGTTCCGGCGGACTTTAGCGGAAAATCTGCACCCAAATCCGGTCAACGCTTTCGAAAACGGTCAAGAATAGCCCCTGATAATAGTATTGAACTGTATCTGTATACATAATTTGCAAAACATTTAAGTATAAAACTATTGAAATGTATATAGGAAAGTAATAGGGTAAATCTTTATTGCTATAGCGAGAAATGCAAGAAAACTCTGAATCAGAAGACAGTGAAGAATCTAGTGTTTATAGCAGTGAAGATGATCGTAAGAAGAGAAGGAAAAAAAGAAAACACAAGAGTAAACATAAAAAACACAGAAAGAGTAAAAAGCATAAGAAGAAAACCAAGAAAAAGAAATTCAGAAAAGATTCAACTGATAAGGTAATAATTTGCATATACTTAATGGATTGACCAGGTAATTAAAAATCATTTTAACGTAGTTTTCTAAATAATTAAATCTGTAACCTTTTACATATGCGTTCTTGATTTGTTTTGGTGTTAGCCCAGTTATATTAGACTGGTATTGACAGGTCTAAAAATTTCCTACTTATAAAATCTTACTTCAAAAACATGACAAAACAAGGTGTACTTTAGTATAAGCTTTATGTGATGACACTTTTTCAGCTGGTGGACAATATTCTGAGTTATTAACAAATTTCTGATCTGTGCTAAAAATTGCTATATTAAACTTTTTTTAATAATAAAAGAATAAGATTTAAAAGAATATTTTGGTATAAAATATGATGATAATATAATTTAAGTATCATTTAAAATAACAAAAAAAAATTTACGAAATATTTTACTTTGTAAGATAATTTATCATTTTAAGCACATATCAGTTCTCTACACAGTTCTGCCGACTTTCATTGCCTGGTTTCGGCAAATAATATCACTTAAATGATATTAGTATAATACAATGTTTTAAAGTATAATACAACGTGATTGTTATTGCATTAAGATAATACAAAATCTTTTTTACGATACGTTGATGACAATCACACACTAGTTGAGCCAATCAATTAAGCTAACAAGTTATAAGATGTACTCAATCAGCAAAATATTAACCTAAATATACATTGGAACTTTAAAATAAAAAAGTCACTAAATATTTTATGGTCAGTAAGAGTTTAATACAATTACAAATATCCAAATTAATACAATTACAAATATCCAAATTGAAAAAACTAAAGTTCTTGAAGTTATCTTTACTGGTGTTATTTATAGAGCCAAAAAATTATAATACATTTTCCACAAAATAAAAGTTTTGTGGAAAATGGTTGTGTGGTAGGTATTGTATCTCTAAGGCTAATATGAGGAATTTGGATGACGCTTAATGTCTGATGGTCTGGAAACCAATTATGTGTTTTATTTAGATCTAAAACTGATGTCAGTACAATGTTTTAATAAATGTTAATGTACATCACTGTGGTTTAATTGACAGGTCTAACATTTTTTTGGACTAGAGTCTAAAGATCTTAAAAGTATTTTCTTCTAAAACTGGAAATGTTTTATTAAAACCCAAATATACAAGTTGTAACCTGTTACAAGTTGTAACCTTGTTGTTTTATTAATAATAATATTTTAACTAATTGACAAATTGTTTAACTGTATGTAGGAAAATAATAGTAAAGACCCTAAAAAAAGTTTCTTTTATTTCGATATTAACTCTATTAAGAGTTATGAGTTGTGCAAGCCTTACGGGGTCAATTATTTCAATGACCAAACCAAAAGTTTGCCCCTGTTGATTGTTTTCAAACAAATTTGAAGAAGGTAATAATTTTTTGTACTTGGTCATTAAGTTAGCTTAAAAATTATTTCAACGATTTTGTTTTTGGTACCAAACATAAGTGGGGGGCAACCAAAATATCCGGTTTAAGTCCTCTTTACCAACCAAAATTAAGAGAAAATTTTCTTTAAACCCTGATGCTGTCAAAATTTAATACTTTAACTTAATACTGAATCACGTTGATTTTCTTTTTCTTTTTTTATTTTAAAGCAATCAAAATTTTATTCCTGAAAATTTCAACATTTTATATACCAAATGTTTATCAAGTTACCTAATGTTTTTAAGTTTATTTTAGTTGTTTTAGAAAAAACGACCGAAACAAAAGCTAATATAAGATATAAGCATAAGCAAAATATGATAAACGTTTGATTGGTATAAATATGATAATAGCTTGATTGGTATAAATATGATAAACGTTTGATTGGTATAAATAGAAACTTCGATTTACTGTAATGCGTGTTGTTTACACAGCCATCTGAGAACATGGAAATATATGTATATAAATAATGCATTATAGTAAAAATAATAAAAGAATATTAAATGTTATAAATATAAATAATTGTTTATATAAATAGAATACGAATTTTTGTTAGGTTATGGCGCGCTTTTTTAGCTAGCGATCCTCGCGGCCAAATCGCTGTCATTATCATTTCCAAAATCGCTAACTAGTCGTTAGTCGATTTTGCTCTGGGTTTTAAGTAATATTGTTTGAGAAAAAAAACTAAAATAAAGTTTTATGAGCATGAACATTAACATTTAAATTAAAAGGGTGCAATTTTCCTGGATCATGAGTCACCTTGAGATTTGTCAAAAGTTTTATCACATGTCCATTCATCACAAATGTAATCGTTTAATTTTCGAGGGTTACTTGCATACAACAATTAATCAAACTCAAACTATTACATATTAATAGTACTGTTATACGTTTATAATTTTTTGATTATCAATCCGGAAAATGCTATCAATCAAAGACATTCAGATTTCATATCTCCTCTTAAATTTCAAAAAAAGCTCATTTTTTATATCTAATTTTTTGTTCCTGTAATTTTTTTTTACATAATATAACAGTGCACCTTGTTTTACAAACTATGTGCGCTTTTACGGTAATGTGTTCGTGTGCGTCTGTTTCTTAATTATCGTTTGTGATTCACGTAGAATGTGCGCGCAAGTGTGCATATTAGGGTTTGTAGCCATTCCCTCTGAAAAAAAATTTACGTATAAAATTCATCTGTTAAAAACATAAGAAATTTTACAAAAAATTTAATATACAGTATCGGATAAAACAAGTGCAATCAAATAATGCTAATTTAGTTTCTTTATATAAAAGTGCTGCATTTTTTCAATTTAGAGAAATAACTATGTAACTGTTTAGAGACAACGTTCTTCAAGTTTTATTCAACACAAAGTTCATTATTTGTACACGAAAATTAATAAATTAATCAAAAGTATTAAAAAAAGTTGATTTCCTTCTGGACAAGTGCAACTCCACAAAATGTTGACCAAGCTGTATTTCGCTATCAATATTTCGCGGCGAATCCTTTGTTGTCGATCACAGCCTTGTATCTTCGAGGCATAGATTCAATCAGGTGATCAATGAAACTTTGTGGAACCGCTGGCCAGGCCTTTTGGATTCGATCAAACAGTTGATCCTTATTACGAACACCTTCACGATTAATTCTGCAGTTAACGATCTCCCACAGGTTCTCGATAGGGTTGAGATCCGGAGACCGGAGGCGCCCAATCCATCACCGATAGGTGTTTGTCTTGAAACCACTGCTTGACTACTTTAGCAGTGTGTTTCGAATCGTTGTCTTCCTGAAAAACCCATTTTATTGGCATAATCCATTCAACATGAGGTAACATAACAACTTTCAGGATATTTTTATACATGAAACGGTCCATTATTCCATTGATTCGATGTATTGGACCTAGACCGTTAGCAAAAAAACACCCCCAGACCATTACATTGCCTCCACCATGCTTCATGGTCTTATGGCAGTAACGTAAATCGAGACGTTTTCCGGCCGGTCGACGTACACAGCAAATGCCATCGCTCCCAATGATGTTGAACTTCGATTCATCACTGAACAGGATAGTTTACCATTTCTGCACATTCCAGTCAATATGAAATGTAGCAAACAGGTGTCTTTTCTTTTGGTTCTTTAGTGAAATCAGCGGTTTCTTTGCAGGGCGTCGAGAAAACATTCCGGCTTCAACAGCACGTCGTCTGATTGTTTGGTCTGATACAGGCAGCTCTAATTGCTTGTGTATCTCGACTGATGATATCCAGGGATCCTTCTTGACGGATCCCTGGATATCATCAGTCGAGATACACAAGCAATTGACTTCTAGAAGTGGTGGAACGCGGTCTTCCACCTTTGTTATCTGCTGCCAACTTCATGTAGACTGGTATTTGGAACATAGTCTTGATACGGTCCATTTTTTCACGCGATATTTATCACAAATACTTTTTTGTGACATTCCACTTACGTAATTGAGACATTTCACTTACGTAATTTGTGGAATTATTATGCAATAAGTGGAATTATTACGTAATTTGTGACATTCCACTTACGTAATTTCATACTTCTGGAAACTTCTGGATACTTACTTTAATTAATAAAAAACTTCCGTGACGTTGACACGCATTAGACTTAAGAAAATGAAACAAACTAAAAAAAGTTGTACTTGTTTTGTCCGCTGCGAAATGGCACTTGTCAACGAAATTCTGCCTGTGTGCTGTCACCTGTCAGCTGATTGCTCATGTCATGCTATGACTCCAGACTCCTTAACTGATTGCTGTGGTAGTATAGTTCATTTTGTTTTAAAGACATAAAATTAGGAACACTTTTTAGCATTCTTCGATGTTGGTTACAAATGTTTTGTCCAATACTGTATATAGTTCCACTTTTTATTTTTAAATACAATTAAATTTGAAAATCAATTAAAGTGGTATTATTATTTATTTAATTTTATAATTTTTTATTTTTTTTTTTTTTAAATTTTATAATATTATTGACTTAATTTTATTAATTTATTTAATTATAATTCTTCGCTTTTTTCATATATTCATTAATTGTAGTATTTCTTTAAATCCTTTTTTATAAATATATTCAAAAGATTTTATAAATAATTTAAATGCCATATTTGTCCTAATCAATTAGTAAATCCGTTTTTATGGAAAATCTTTTAGTGACCAGTGGACTGTTTGTAGAATGAATAAGAACTAAAAGTTAAAGTTTTAAACAATGTAAATGCTAAATTAATTTATAGGTGAATTTTTATTATCATGTTTATATAAATTTATTAGGAGTTTCCTTTTATCGCAATAGGAAGAAAGTAACGATGAATCAAACAATGCTGAAAAAGCAGTTGTTGAGAAAGCGTCTTCAGACGAAGAATTATCTTCATCGACTGATATCAATCAAAAACATTCAGATTCAGATAGTGAAAAATCAAGTTCATCTTCTGGCTGTGAAAGTAAAAAAACAACCTCTCCTTTAATTAATTCAAATGCTATTTCTAGTGAAAAATCTAGTTCATCTAGCTGTGAAAAAATATCTTCTCCTTTAATTACTTCAAATTGTTTGGATTCAAAATCAAGTTTGGAATCGATAAAAGACCGTATTACGCCAATATCTTCATTATGATATAGTTTAACATCTTCGGAAAAAGTATAATAGTCTTTTTTATTATGATCCGGTTGTAACTTTAATTTACTTAGATGTTATGCTAGTCATGCTATATATGTGTATTAACACCGGAATATTTTTTATCAAAGACGGTAAAGTTGGTAATTGTCACACTAGAGTTAGTGACGTGCGATGAACAACGTTTTGAAGAAAATTTTTAATAAAAAGCTCTTATTTTTAATATTAAGTGGTTCTATTCCTTTAATTTTTTTTTTTCTTTTTTCTTTTTTACGTAAAACTAAAGTGCACCTTGTTTTACAAACAAAGTGCGCTTTTTATGTAAGAGTCTTTTTTTTTTTGTTTGTCGTTTTTTTTCCTGTCTATTCTATAATGGACGTTTGTGATCCACATAAAAGAACGTGCGTGCAAATGTGAATATTCAAGTTTATAGGGTTTATGGCCATCTCTAAAAAATTTGCATTTGTATATAATTTTAGGGAAGAGTAACCTAAAGCGGGTTCCTTTTCAAAAAACGATACAATTAACTAGCTTTTAGGCCACCTTCCCATGCTTTGTATTTTTAAAAACAAGTTGTAAACTTTATTTGATTTTTCCATTATTTGGCCGCGAGCATTAGTAGTAGTTTTTTTAAATGCTTAAAATAAAGTATTGGGCATTGGTAGTAGTTTTTTTTAAACGCTTAAGTTTTTTAAATAAGATTTTACTCCTCCATATATATATATATATATATATATATATATATATATATATATATATATATATATATATATATATATATATATATATATATATATATATTAGCTATTCCCAACCTGTGGGTCGCTTGAAAATTTTAAAGGGGTCGCTATTATACCTCAGTGGTTTCTTTTTATCGTTTTTGATTTAAGTGAAACTCTGAATACAGTCATTTAAGCTTATTTATAACTTTATCGCCTAATAACTCAATTGAAGACCTTGGAATGAAATCCTCAAATGTCCACTTTTATGCAAACTGGATTTGTGTTAATTTTTGGTTGCCTGTATATAAGTCCATGTAATGACACATGTTAAATGTTTTTTTTTAAAATTATGTCCTCTAAATTGACTGTCAAAAAAAAGGTACTTTTAAAAAACATCAATGGTTTAAATGGTCTCCTGAAAAAAATCATTTGTGACATTTAAGGTTTTCATTCCAAGGTCTTCAATTGTGTTACCAGTTTCAATTGTGTGTGACTCTTGATTTTATAATAAACAATGCGCACTCAAAATACTGTGAAGTTTACAATACTTCAATTGTGTGTTGTGCAGTTTGCTTCGCACAAATAGGAATCATTCACGATCAAAACTTTAATGTTGAGATTTTATAAAATGTTTACAATGTATATATTTTCCTTTGCAAATAATAAATAAAACAATTGTTTTGTAGATGAATTATTAGGAATCGATTATTAAAAAATATGGTCGTTATGAATTAGGAGTGACCTTGCTATATTTTTATAGTTGGGGTCGCCACAACTTAAACAAATAATATCAAGGGGTCGCGGCATCGAAAAGGTTGGAAATCGCTAATATATATTAGTCGAAAGAATTACGAGTTAACCCAAAAAAAAATAGTATAAAGCTGAAGTTTTGCTTAGAGGAAGTAGTTTCTTGATGAGTGATAAGACCCGTTGATTGCCCTACGCATATATTCCTTTAGGGGCAAAAAATGGTTCAATTTTGACAGCATTAAACTGTCATAAACTATATATCGTTGTATAATAAGTTTTATACTGATCAAGATTTATGTAAAAACTATGGCTTAAAAACATTTATTTTCAAAGTCATTTACGTTTGAAAAGTGTAAAATTCGCACAAAACGTCATTAGATTTTTTGCTTTCAAAAGATTAATTTTTACTGCGAATAACTTCATCATTTCTTTTGTTTTTATAATAATTGTTTTCAACAAAACATTTTCGTATGAGGAATAATTTAATTTTACTACAAAAAAAATGGCGTCTGATTGAAATGTAGAAATAAAACGTTAATTGTTACACGAAGTCTTCAGATTTTTAAAACGTAACTGTTACATGTAGTCTTTAGATTTTTAAAAGAAAAAAATGAGTGCTGTTTGTGTATTGTGCAGGCTTGGCTTTTACAAAGAAGTTACGTCAAAGTATATGGAAAAGGTTTCAAAACATTGATTCGATTAAGCGAAGAACAGAGTATGAATGAACTATGCAGGTTAAATAAACAATCTTACAAAGATTTACATAAACTTTAATTTAAATAAATCTTACAAAGACTAAAAAAAAAAAAATAGGTTTAAATAAGCAATCTTACATCGCGCAGTTAGTTAAAACTACAGTTTGCATATAATAACTCATATCAGGACCGAAGGTGACATTTTTTGGCGTTAAAAATAGCTAACTTCTAGACATTGTGCAAACTCCAAACATTTGTATGTATATATTTATGTCAAATAAGAATGCTTTGCAAAAAATTGATATGATTGAAGCCTGGGAACAAAAAAACCCCAAAACTTGGCTCTCCCCATAGCCCCAAACGTGAGAGCAACCAGTTGATAAAATATTTTTTGTACTATTCTTAACTAGACTTATATTCATTGATAAATTTTAAGTTTCATAGTATAATCTCTTAGCGTTCAAAAATTTCGTCCATATAAAATTTTAGGGGGGTTTTAGCAGGGCGGTGGCGCAGTGGTTAGAGTGCTTGCTTTATAAGCAGGAGAACCATGTTCGAAACAAACTCTTGACATATTTTTGCATCACGGTAAGGAAGAAGGTGTAAACTTCTCCTGGTTAAATGAACTTCCGTGGTGCTCTGTGACAAGACCGTTTGGTCTTGTCACAGAGCAAGACCGTTCGGTCTTTTTGGGGCACCTAAACAACAACAAAAATTTTTATTGTCATAATTTTTGAACAATAATATATTTTACTTCTGAAATTTTTTACAAAGCATCTTTACTTGATATAAGTATAAACTTATAAATGTTTGGAGTTTGCACAATTCTGGACGTTAGCAACTTCTAACTCCAAAAAACGGCACCGTCGGCTCTGCATATTCATTAATGACGTTTTTCTGAATCATTTCGAATTATATATTTATACAATCAAGCATATGTTTGGTTGTATAATTAAAAAATAAGATAGTTTGAAGAAGCCATCTACCATATTTCTTGTATAAACAACTTCAGGCTTAAGACTAAAAGCGATAACCAATCCGGACGACCATTAGATCTCACTATGGTTGAAAATTTTGAAAAGCTCTGTTTCCGATTAGAGGAAAAAACTGACTGCAAACTTTATAAGCTTTTGGTTGTGCACATCAAGATGAAAGAATTTATTTGGTGTAGTTTAGGCAATTTTGTTTTAAAAAAAGGATTTAAAAAATAAAAACTTTAGGAGACGACATATAAAAAGATTTTTATTACTTATGTTTTCTCCGAAACTTTTTTGATTTTAACTTAGGTTTTAATATAGTAGAAAAACAATATTTTGAGGTACATTACACAATTAATAACTCATTTTTTTCAAAAAGTGGAGATAGAACAAAATAATTCTAACCTCGCGTAATGTCTGAACAATTTATTTATTTTATTTTATTTCTTTTTTTTTTTCTTCTCCAGATATACCATATAAAATATACATTTATTAAGAATTTATAAAGAAAATATATATACAAAATTATTACGTATCAGATTGATAAAAATACGTTAATATAATATTTATACATTAATATAGTATTGATGCAAACTTTAATATAAATTCTGGTATAATAACTATTATATGTATATATATATATATATATATATATATATATATATATATATATATATATATATATATATATATATATATATATATATATATATATACATATAATAGTTATTATACCAGAATATATATATATATATATATATATATATATATATATATATATATATATATATATTAAAATAATTTAAATGAAAAAAATACAACTTTATAATGGAACTAAAAGTTTCATGCCATTCGGCAATCATATTCCATATTATTGGAATAATATGGCTGATGATTGCCGAATGGCATGAAACTTTTAGTTCCATTATAAAGTTGTATTTTTTTTTATTTATTTTAATATATCAATAACATGGAATAATATGGCTGATGATTGCTGAATGGCATGAAACTTTTAGTTCCATTATAAAGTTGTATTTTTTTCATTTAAATTATTTTAATATAATTTAATCTATTTTTTTTTTTAAAAATATTGATCACTCTTAAACCGAGGAGACATGGCAACACCAGCTAGCCAAAAACGTCTGCAACTCTCCCCGTTTTAACATCTCAAAATTTATATACAGGAGAGGTAATTACGCGAATCTAAACGAGAAACTCTCCCAAGTTGATTGGATTAGTTTATTTAAAGACCGATATGCCGACGAATGTTTTCAAATATTCTGCGACAACTATATCAAATTATGTGACAAATTTATTCCGCGTGTCACCTCTAAACTGGCCAAACACAGGCAGCCTTGGCTAACCAGCGAACTTTTTTTACTAATTAAACGTAAGAAAAAACTTTGGTACCTCAACCGCAACAGCAAATGGCGAATCATTCCTCTTGTCAAAGAGTATAACCAAACTCGAAACCTTGTCAAAAAAACTTCCTTCACTGCAATTAGAGCATTTGAACACAAATTAGCTAGCGACAAATGGAACCCTAAGCGTCTATACGCTTATGTAAACAACAAACGCGCCGTCAGTAACCAGATAACTTCTATGTGCTCACCCGCTGGGGAAATAAGTAGCGACCACGCATCTATAGCCAATATACTTAACAGCCAGTTCCAGTCAGTATTCACAATCGAACCATCAGATCAACAACTACCTCCCTTTGTTAAACGTACAACCACCTTATTCTCCTCCGTCATCTTCACCTATGATTCCGTTCACAAACACCTATCTGCTCTCAACGCCAATAAATCAACTGGAGGTGACGGTATCAGTCCATTTGTGCTTAAAGCATGCGCTGATGCGGCGGCCATCATTTTTCAGAAATCGATGGATCAAGGTGTAGTCCCAAAAGCGTGGCTCTCGGCAAACGTTACGCCACGTTCAAAAAAGGCTCCAGACTCGACCCAGAAAACTATAGGCCTATCTCCATCACCTCAGTACCATGCAAAATAATGAAAAAAATTGTTAAAGAAAAGATCATGCAGCACCTTGTAGCTCATAAACTTATTGCCGATTGCCAGCACGGCTTCGTCAATAAAAAAACCT